GGCTAGATGAGAGCTTTCTAAGCTATTTCTTTGGGTAGATCACAGGTCCTCAGAAGTGGTCCCTGGGCGCCACTTCTCCTCCGTGATCATGTGAAGATGATCCTGCCCAATGGTGTTGAAGGTTTGACACTATCCTGGGTAACGGTTACAATGGGGTGATCTTAATTATGCTTTGTAGACTTCTCTTTTTTTAAAAAAAAAAAATTACCTCTGCAGTTGGACTATCTGTGAAATACTGATAAACATATATACAGTCCATAACAAATATGGGGAGGAGAAGCTACAAATGTTTTAAATGTTTTAAAAAGCATCTATTCCACCCATATTCACAAGACACGGGATGCCAGTTGCTAAGGAAAGTAACTCTTGTTATCTAACCAACAATGCAAGGAAGGAAGGAAGGAAGGAAAGAAAGAAATTCCATCATGGGTTGGGTCTTCGCCCCCTTCTCAGACTTGCTTCCATAACTTCCCTGGGGGTGTGCAACACACAGCTTCCACCACATTGCGAAGCTTGCGTAATTTTAGCGAGCGCTGCACTTTTGAGGCCACGAAACGTTGACCCCCCACCCCACCCCACTTAACTTGCAAGCCCGTTCCATCTACCTACTTCCATTTAGGTACCCGGGGATCTCTGAAGAGCCTTGCAGATGGAGATGGCCTACAACTTTGAGCAGCCGGCGTGGTCAATGACAAGGAATGTTGGTTGTTGTAGGCCGGCAACATCTGGAGGAATTCAGGTCCTCCATCCATCCTTTTTTCCCCCTTTTTTTCCCAGCTGGCAGATATGAACATTTCATTTAAAACACGCAGCAGATCTGATAGTTCTCATCCATCCTGTCTTGGCCCAACACCAACCCATTTCTGTGCCGGACAAACATTGATGGATGTTTTTTCTCCCCTTCAGATGTTCCTCAAATCAGTTGCAGTTGCCATTTGTAGGCAAAGGGGGGGAAAAAACCCAAAAACCTGAAGCCCCCAACCTTAAACCTTCTCCCCTTCTCTTCTTCCTTCCTTCCAAATGAAAATGAAAATGAAACACAGGTAAAACCTAAAATGAACCGACAGATATAACCAAAGGACACCATGACAGAGGTAGCTGAAGCCTCCTTCCAAAGGACCCTCTTAGGCTGAGATGGACCTCGGGTGGGGGGGAGAGGGAGGGAGGAGGAGGAAGAGGAGGAGGAGGAGGAGGGCAGTTCCCCAACCTGAATTTTTTGGCAAAGATGGAAGAAATGAGGAAACACATTCAAAGCATCCTTTCTTTTAGCCACGGACAAAAGGGATCTAGAGATCTAATTCTTCCAGGAGTTACTTGTCCCCTGAAACAAATTACCCCAGGCTCACTATTATTTTGCCATTGAATGCATAACATCCTGCAAAATATATCTGATTTGGGTCTTTAGAAATGGAATAACTCTACGCAGATGCTATGGCTATCCTATCTCCCTAGGGCCATTTTCCACCTTGGCTAACAAGAAGGGTTTACACTTAACTTTAGCAATTGATTTCTGGCAGGTCACAAGAAACGTAAGACACCCCCCCTAAAAAAAACAAACCTCTGCATGGCATAATTCATTTCATTGCTCCTGGGTGATTTTTAGCTATTATTGATTCACCTTGTTAAACAGTGCTTTCCATTGTGTGCAATAGAATTATGGGATGGGGGGGAGAGAGAGAGACAACCCCTGCAGAATTAATCCTTATTTGGGAAGACTTGGGCAGAATAGTTTTAAGAGGCATGCAAGAGACAAACTTCCCAATTTAAAGATGAGGGGATTAAAAAAAAGGGGGTAGTAAAAGATTAAGGTTTTTTTTTGCCCCTGTAGCATCTCAGCTCTTGATTTAACTTAAAGATTGTCTCAAAGGTGCTTTTTCAAAAAGCAGCTGGACTGTTGTTGTTGTTGTTGTTTTCTTTAAGGAAGAAGAAGTTTTGTTTCTCATCCAAGAAGCTCCATCAGTTCTGAACTAACGAGCAAAGAAAAAGAAAAAGAAAGTCCAGTTGCCTTTGGAAGAAGCAGCTTTCCTGGATGATGGAGCATCTCCCTAGACACTCCTAAAGATCCTTCAAAATCACGCTATGCCCCTTTCTCAAACAAGTCTGGGAAGATCAGGGTATATGGATGTCATGCTACAACAACTTGAATAAAGGTCCATGGTTTCTGGTCCCACCAGAATGGCCTAAATCCATCAATGTTGGCAACAAGACCCACTCATCCAAACGTTTATGGAGATTCTCCATCATCCAGGTCCATGGTTCTCCCAAAGGTCCTTTTTCAAGCGGCAACTGGACTTCCTAGGTTTTTCCTTGAAGATGTTTCACTTCTCATCCAAGAAGCTTCTTCATTTCTGAAGAAGCTTCTTGGATGAGAAGCGAAAGGTCTTGGAGGAAAAATCAAGTCCAGTTGCCTCTTGAAAAAGCACTTTGGGGACCCACTCAGCCCGTTAAACTAGTTGCATCTTTCCAGAGACTCAGGGGATCCGAGTTCTATCCATCCCAGTCCACACGCTGGCAGCCAGGAAGGCTGGAGGAGGATCTAGCAAGGTTATTGTGAAAGTTTGGGATGGAAAGATCTTCGGGATTGGACAGTTGGCAACCTAAAAAAAGCATCTCGACCCCAAACTGCAAATGTCAGCTTAATCTGAAGGATTTCCAAAGACACTAACTCTTTCCCCAAACTCGGCTCGCCCTTGTTCTTCTCTCCTCCCAGGGATTAAACGCTCATCTGGAGCACCGCGGATTGTGGTTTGTTCTCACCCGAATGGCATCCAGACCGTGGCATTGGAGCCATTCTGTGGAACAACAACAAGCACCCCTCCAGTAACAATGTGCTAAATTGTGCCTCCTGGTCCATGCCTGGGCAATGGATGGGTTGGCCCCTCTCTTAGCCACAGCTGAAGGGGAATTGTGGTCGCCTTCCAGATTCCCTACAGAGAGAGGGGTTGAAGGAGAGAAGGAGGCTTCTGTATCCAGAACTTGAAACTCCAGCAGAAGAGGGTGATAGTCAGAGAATAAGGACTCAGTCCTCCAGGATTGATCCCCAAAGGGGACAAAATGGGAGGGGGGTTAGACTGCAAAGATGGTTGCATTCAGCTCCCCCCTGGTGGTGGTGGGTTTTGTTTTTTGTTTTTTTTTGCAAAATGGAATTTTCCATGAAATAATTAATACTGATATATGGGGTCCCTTCAGCTGGAAAGTTGGCAGAAAGTCCTCATTTCTCCTTAAGCATGGTCCCTCCCTCCCTCCTTCCATCCATCACTTATAGTGCTGTCTCAGGGACTTTTTTAAAAAAAAATAAATGTTGTTTTTAAAGCTAAAGAGAGGAAAGGAATTAAACCAGGGCTGTCCGACCTTGGTGACTTTAAGACTTGTGGACTTCAACTCCCAGCATTCCAGGCTGACGGGGGAACTCTGGAGTTGAGGTCCATGAGTCTTAAAGTCACCAAGGTTGGACAGCTTTGATCCAAACAGATGAAATATGGGCCAAGAAACAGGTAGGAGGAATTGTCACTGAGGAGGACTTTGTCAACTTTAAGGCTTGTGGACTTCAATTCCCAGCATTCCAGGCTGATGGGGGAACTCTGGGAATTGAGGTCTACGAGTCTTAAAGTCACCAAGATTGGGTAGCCCTGATCCAAACAAATGAAACCTGGCCCAAGAAACAGGTAGGAAGAACTATCACTGAGTAGGAATAGGTTGGGAGAGTGTCCCTTGGCCCTCGTGTCTACTGAATCTTCCTTCTGAGGAAGAAAAGGTCTTCAGGTTGGGGGGTGCCCCAGTTTCTTCCCCAGTGAAGAAACACACACACACATACACACACACACATGAATGACACACAAAGGAGGGGAGGCAAACAGCCAAGGAGGATTTGGAAAGGCAGGCAGTCGATAAAGCAATTTTAAGGCAGACTGTCTGGTTGCTTGGAAGGTTGAACGTCACCCTGTTCCTGAAACGGGAAGGGAAATTTGGTTGACTGAGAAAAAAAATCTAGCAGCAGCAGAATTAGCAGCACGGCGGATTGGAGATTTGGTTGACCCTCTTTTGTCATCTTCGTCAGCTTCTCCTCGGTTCCCCGGGGAGCACGTAGCAGCTTTTCGCCCTCCTGGCGCTCAGCCCTCTGACCACAGGTGTGTCCTTCCACAAGAGCTGGCCAGGTCTTGAGAAGGCCTCTCTCTTTACTCTCCGGTGGTTGCAACGACCTCTCTCGACGTAAGAGAGGGGATCCACGTTCAGACCAAGAGGAACTTGGCTTGGCCAAAGAGATCCAGTCTTCTCTTGAGGGCGGTGAACATTTGCTGAGGGCACGAAGGTTGAGCTCCCTCTTCTTCCCAAAAACAAATCCTCTCTCTCTCTCTCTCTCTCTCTCTCTCTCTCTCTCTCTCTCTCTCTCTCTCTCTCTCTCTCTCTCTCTCTCTCTCTCTCTCTCTCTCTCTCTCTCTTGCTCTTTCCGTCCCTCTTCCTCCCTCCCCTAGTTTCTCTCTATAAATATTAGGTATACATTGATATATGGCTTGTTTCTTGCCGTAATCTGGATCCAGAAAGCAGAAAACTGAACGGTTGACCCCAAAGACGTACAAAACCAAATCTAAAAACCAAGGACACGGTTCCGACGAGATGGACGCGGTATTTTGAGTAACGCATGCTTTCTTCCTCCCCAACCCCACAGCCCGGCCCGCGACCCGCCCTGGATAAGTCCATTTCTGGCGGTCTCGCTTGTTTTTCGCGAGTTAAGGTACAATTAATACAAGTATCCGGCTCGCCGCCCTTTCCCCTCTCCCAGAGATTTCCGGGTCACTCCTCGGGGGCAAAGAGAACGGGAAGGCAGAACCGGTTGAAAGTCTAAAAGTCCCTGGCGCAGAAACGTCACGGGGCTTTTCAGAGTTTGAGCAGCTTGTTAGGAAATAATACTGATAAAAAACGAGAGGCGGGATGGCGCGTCTCCTTGCCTGCGACTGGCTGGCGGGGAAGCTCTCTCTCCATCTTGCTGTGCCTCTTAGCAGTTGGCCCTAGGCGAAGTTGAAGCCATGTTGGTCCCGCTGATTGTGCTCTTGAGCATTGGGATCTAAACAGGCACATTCTCCCTGCAGGTCGCAAGACATGGGGAACGGGATGACCTGTAACGGAAGAACAGAGTTGGAAGGGATCTTGGAGGTCTTCAAGTCCAACCCCCTGCTCAGGCAGGAAAGAGAGCTTGGAGAAACTGGGATTATTTTATTTCTGGACTCTCCTCCATCCTTCTCTCATTCATGTCTCTGTCTCTCTATCTGTCTCTCTCTTTCTCTCTCTCTTTTTCTCTTCCCCCCCCCTCTCATCTATCTACCTACCTACCTACTATCTACCTATCTATCTACCTACCTACCTACCTACCTACCTACCTACCTACCTATCTATCTATCTATCTATATCAAATCCAGGGCTTTTTTTGTCATAGAACGCCCAGAACGGAGTTCCAGCACCTTTTTGGGATGGAACCTTGTAGGGTAAGCAAGGCGGGTTGTATGACGTGTGTGAGTTCCGGCACCTTTTTATTTTTATTTTTACAAAAACACTCTGTCTGTCTATCTATCTATCTATCTATCTATCTATCTATCTATCTATCTATCTATCTATCTATCTATCTATCTATCTATCTATCTATCTATCTATCTATCTATCTACCTACCTACCTACCTACCTACCTACCTACCTACCTACCTATCTATTCTATTCTATTCTATTCTATTCTATTCTATTCTATTCTATTCTATTCTATTGAAGGAGGACATTTAAGATTCAGTGTGCCCAAGACGGGACGTGGCTGGAAGGAGCTTGCATCCCTGTGACTTATTGAACCGCCCCCTCCAAGTTTCACGGGCTCCACCATTGCACCAACGGTTTCCATGCTTCTTGAGAATAGGTTGACCCCCCCTCTTCTTTGTGGCAACCCCTTAGATATTTGAACATTGCTATCATGTCACCCCTAGTCCTTCTTTTCATTGTACTAGACCAGGGTTCTTCAAACGTGGCCCTTTTATGACATGTGGACTTCAACTCCCAGAATTCCTCAGCCAGGCATGCTGGCTGAGGAATTCTGGGAGTTGGAAGTCCACAAGTCATCAAAGGGCTACGTTTGAAGAACCCTGTCCTAGACATACCCAGTTCCAGCAGCTGTTCTTTATATGTTATAACCTCCCGTCCCCTAATCGTCTTTGCTGCTTTTTTCTCTTTCTAGAATCTCAACATCTTTCTTTTTTTTTTTTTACACAGGTGGCGACAAGAGGGACGTGCATTGACCTTATTCGCCCAGCTGTTAGTTGGCCAATGGACAGCAGGCTTGGAACACTTTTAGGAGGTAAGCTGGATTTCAGGCCACGTTCCTGGAAATAATACATTGGCTCTCCTCCAGGCTGGGAACTCAGCTTGAAAGCCTGGTGAGATGCCTCCTCAGACATCTCCAGAGGCTGTTCCATGTAAAACACATTCTAGTAACCCAGCCAGGGCATGTTCGAGGTTTATCAAGGGTTGCTTCAGCAGAAGGAAGCCGATTTCGACAGATTGCATCAGGAAAGGGTGGGGACGGAGGTGGCGGTGGGGAGGTGAGGAACGAAGTCCCTGGTGTCTTTTCCCATCTGCACAGCCAGAGTTAATGGCTTCATTCCACACACACACACACCCTTGCTGGCCAATGCCACAACCTGCTCACCTTTGTTTAAATTCAGAACGTGCAATCTATCCCTACTGACACCCCAACTTGTCCCTTCTAAGGCAATTTAAAGAAAGAAAGAAAAAACATCTACCAGTTTCTCCTGTGACATCCACAGGGGATTCTGGAAATAGACAAGGTATTTATAGATACACTTTCACCACCACCCCAGCCACTCCCCGTGCGTGCATCCACCTGCTTCTCTGCGACATTCACTTGACACCCAAGTTACGCAAAGAAAAGGGATGGGCCAAGTCCGTCTTCCTACCTAGCCTGACAGTTTCTCTTCCGCCCAGAGTTTGATGGAAGCTCAAAGCATTCCTCTCTGGGTCTGGCCCCCAACAAGCAGGACAAGAGTTTTTATTTGTGGACTGCAAGGTATTTCAGACTTATTGCTGCAAGAGAGAGAATTGTAACAAAGGCTTTCAGGGATGCACAGCCCCACGGAAGACTTGGAAGGGGTTCCTAATGCCCTTTTCCCAAGTTGTCCTCCATTCTATTCTATTCTATTCTATTCTATTCTATTCTATTCTATTCTATTCTATTCTATTCTATTCTATTCTATTCTATTCTATAGTAGAATAGAATAGAATAGAATAGAATAGAATAGAATAGAATAGAATAGAGAATAAAATAGAATAGAGAATAGAATAGAATATAGAAATAAATAGAAATAATAAAATAGACTAGAATATAGAATAGAATAGAATAGAATAGAATAGAATAGAATAGAGAATAAAATAGACTAGAGAATAGAATAGAATAGAATATAGAAATAAATAGAAATAATAAAATAGACTAGAATATAGAATAGAATAGAATAGAATAGAATAGAATAGAATATAGAATAGACTAGAATATAGAAATAGAAATAAATAGAAATAATAAAATAGACTAGAATATAGACTAGAATAGAATATAGACTAGAATAGAATATAGACTAGAAGAGAAGAGAATAGAGAATAGAATAGAATAGAATAGAGAATAGAATAGAGAAATAGAAATAAATAGAAATAATAAAATAGACTAGACTATAGAATAGACTAGAATATAGAATAGAATAGAATATAGAAATAGAAATAAATAGAAATAATAACATAGACTAGAATATAGAATAGAATAGAATAGAATTTAGACTAGACTAGACTAGAATAACTGTATTGTCACTTTGAATGTACACTAATTGACATACATTAAAATGAAATTTTGTTGCATTCAGCCGCCCATAGTCATTGGCTGAGATGGGCGGGCGATAGAAACTGGAGAAAGGAACATTAATTACATGGAGGACAGTCATGCTATGAGCTATATTTAATTCCATACGTCCATGCCCCCCCCCCCTAAGTGACACAAAATCTAACTTTGTTTCTGTCCTCGCTTCACATGTTCTCGTCTTCCAAGAAGTTGCTCCTCATGAGTTGGGAAAAGGCTTTCCCAGTTGGAAGGAATAGATCAGAGGTCTTCAAACTTGGCCCTTGTATGACTTGTGGACTTCAACTCCCAGAATTCCTCAGCATAGATAATCAAGGAAAGAGTATTCTTAACTTTTTTTTTTTAATTGTAAGTTTTCTTTCACCGGTAATCAGTAAATTCCTGGACAGGCTTTGTCCTCTGGAACTGCTTTTTTTTTTTTTTTTTTTACAAATTACCTTTGAGACCCTTTCCAGAGTCCCAACAAAATCTAAAATCCTGCAGGTACTTTTAAACGCTGGGCAAAAATGTCTGGGCAAGCTCCTTTGTAAAAACGTTGCATGTGGCTTTAAAATGTTACAGCAACTGAATTCTTAAGAATGAGCTCACCAGCCAAAGAAGTTTGGGGCGGTTTTTTTTATATATATATATATATATATTACTGTTTTTTATAGTCTCTCTCTCACCAAATGTATTCATTCATCGGCTGTGCTGGCCAGGCATTTTTTTGTTAATTTATTCCAAGGTTGGGCCCTTCGTAAACCTCAGCTAGGCTTTTAAAATTCCAAAGGGGACGGAAAACTAGCATTTAGTAAGATAAGGGCAGAAATGCAGTTCAAATGAGGCAGGTGGGCCTCCTTGGAGGAGGAGGCTGAAATACAAGCTGGGGTGGTGGGGGGAATCCTATGCTCTTTTTTCCCTTCTGCTAGTGAGTCCCTGATAGATAGATCCATTATACTTTCAATGGAGCCACGGACTTTAATTGGGTGGGTAAAAACAGGATCTAACAGAACAAGAGATTCCAGCTAGAAATAAGGAGGAATTTTATGACGGTGAGAACAGTCAACCCATAGAACAGAAGTTGCCCTCAGAGGTTGTGGGAGCTTCATCACTGGAAGCTTTCAAGAAGAGACTGGATTGCCATCTGTCAATAACGGTGTAGGGTCTCCTGCTTGGCTGGGTGGGTGGGGGGTTGGACTAGATGACCTACAAGGACTCTTCCAACTCTGATATTCTATTCTTATCTGGGAGCCAGATAAGTGTTAACAGAATAACAGAGTTGGAAGGGACCTAGGAGGTCTTCAAACCTGGCCCTTTGATGGCTTGATGGACTGATCCCAGGATGACAAGAAGGCGATCTTACCTTCCTGGTCTTCACCGTTGACACGCAACAATCTCCATCATCGTAGTTGCAAAAGGCTCGGTTGTTGACCGGATCACAATAATTGTCTCCCCCAAAAGGCTGGAAAAGAAAAGAAAAAAACAAAAAGATGAGGACAATGTCTACTTCCTTGTTAAGTGAACATTGGGAATCGGCTACAATTGCCCGCCGTGAAGACTCTGGAGAATGAGAAGGAAGAGAAATGAATCTTATTAGTGGACAATCCAGAACTGTTCCAGTTAAGTTGCCTAGAGTAGGGCTCTTCGAACTTGGCCCTTTCATGACTTGTGGACTTCAACTCCCAGAATTCCTCAGCCAGTGTGCCTGGCTGAGGAACCAGTTTGAAGAGGGACCAGTTAGAAGAGCCCTGGCATAGGGTTTCCTGCCTGAGCAGGGGATTGGACTAGAACACGGTCTTCAAACATGGTCCTTTCATGACTTGTGGACTTCAACTCCCAGAATTCCTCAGCCAGTGAGCCTGGCTGAAGAATTCTGGGAGTGCAAGTCCACAAGTCATAAAAGGGACAAGTTTGAAGACCCCTGGTATAGGGTTTCCTGCCTGAGCAGGGGGTTGGACTAGAACAGGGGTCTTCAAACTTGTCCCTTTCATGACTTGTGGACTTCAACTCCCAGAATTCCTCAGCCAGTGAGCTTGGCTGAGGAATTCTGGGAGTTAAAGTTCACAAGTCATCAAAGAGCCAAGTCTGAAGACTCCTGGCCTAGAGTTACCTTGTTGTTAATGATTTATTTAATTTATTTATTGAATAATAACTGTCTGGCAGTAGACTTGTGTGGGGGTACCTTGGTTCTTGGGTAAGTGTTCCTATTTATCTCTTATTTCAATTCTCTCTGCAATTCCAGAGTCAAAGGTAAACTTCTCTTTCTACAATAATTGTTTGCTTAGCCATTTATCTGTTAAGACAGGGAGTTCCAAACTTAGCCCATTTAAGACTTGTAGACTTCAACTCCCAGAATTCCTCAGCCAGCCATTCTGCCTAGGGCATTCTGGGAGTTGAAGTCCACAAGTTTTAAAGTGGCCAAGTTCGCAGAGCTACTCCGAATATTGAACCATGTTGTAAAATCTCTATGTTTGTATTTGTATCTACATGTAATTAGCATTGTGGTCTATAAAATAAAGTAAAAGATCTATTGCACCATAGTTGTTTTCGTTCTTCTTTTACAAATCCAGTTAATACAGTTAATTTTGCACAAAAACAGTGTGGTTCCAAAGTCGATGTCATTGGACTGCAGGATTACATCACCCTTGGCACTCTGCCAGCCCCAAAGCCCCAGAAATAAAAGATGATGTCGTCCCCTTTAGAGACGATGTCATTGGAATGCAGTAGCACATCATTTTGGCACTGTGCCAAGGCAAAAGCCCAAAAGCCAAGGCTTTACCCAAAAATAAAAAGATGATGTTGTCCCCTTTATAAGCGATGTCATTTGAATGCAGCATTACATCATTTTGGCACTGTGCCAAGGCTTGCCCCAGAAATAAAAAGATGATGTCGTCGCCTTTGGGGACGATGTCATTGGAATGCAACATTACATCATTTTGGCACTGTGCCAAGGCTTGCCCCAGAAATAAAAAGATGATGTCGTCCCCTTTATAAGCGATGTCATTGGAAAGCAGCATTACATCATTTTGGCACTGTGCCAAGGCTTGCCCCAGAAATAAAAAGATGATGTCGTCGCCTTTGGGGACGATGTCATTGGAATGCAACATTACATCATTTTGGCACTGTGCCAAGGCAAAAGCCCCAAAGCCAAGGCTTTACCCAGAAATAAAAAGATGATGTCGTCCCATTTAGGGCGATGTCATTGGAATATAGCATTACATCATCTTGACACTGTGCCAAGGCAAAAGCCCAAAAGCCAAGGCTTTCCCTAAAAATAAAATGATGATGTCGTCCCCTTTAGAGGCGATGTCATTGGAATGTAGCATTATGTCATACTTGGCACGATGCCACGCCTTCCCCAGAAATAAAAAGATGATGTCGTCCCCTTTAGAGGCGATGTCATTGGAATGCAGCATTACATCATCTGGGCACTGTGCCAAGGCAAAAGCACCAAAGCCAAGGCTTTACCCAGAAATAAAAAGTTGATGTCGTCTCCTTTAGAGGCGATGTCATTGATATGCAGCATGACATTGTCCTTGGCACTGTGCCAAGGCAAAAGCACAAAAGCCGAGACTTTCCCTCAAAATAAAAGGTGATGTCGCTCTCTTTAGAGGCGATGTCATTGGAATGCAGCATGACATCGTCCTTGGCACTGTGCCAAGGTAAAAGCACCAAAACCAAGGCTTTCCCTAGAAACAAAAGAGGCGATGTCACCCTCTTTGGAGGCGATGTCATTGGAATGCAGCATTACATCGTCCTTGGCACCCTGCCAGGCCAAAGAGGGCGACATCATTCTTTTCTATCTGGGGATAGCCTTGGGTTTGGGGCTTTCGGCCTGGCAGAGTGCCAAGGGCGACGTAATGCCGCATTCTAATGATGTCGCCCCCAAAGGTGATGCCATCATCTTTTCTTTCTACAGGGCGGTGTTGGGAGGGACGTGTCGCTCCCACGTAACACCGCTGCTGCGCGAGCTGCACTGGTTACCAGTGGCCTTCCGGGTACGCTTTAAGGTGTTAGTTACCACCTTTAAAGCGCTCCATGGCATCGGACCTGGTTACCTCTGAGACCGCCTTCTGCCACAGATTCCTTCCCACAGACCGGTACGCTCCCACAGAGCGGGCCTCCTCAGGGTGCCGTCGGCCAAGCAGTGTCGGCTGGCGACCCCCAGGGGGAGGGCCTTCTCTGTGGGTGCCCCCACCCTCTGGAACGAACTACCCCCCGAGATCCGGACGATTCCGGATCTCCTAGCTTTCCGCCGCGCCCTCAAGACATGGCTTTTTCAGCAAGCGGGTCTGGCCTAGGGTGAATTTTAAATAGGGACAATTTTAATGATTTTAATAAGACACAGCGACTAATATTTGTTTTTAATTGGTTTTTATTGGGGATAATGTTTTATACTGTTTTAAAATGCTGTGAGCCGCCCTGAGTCCTGTTGGGAGAAGGGCGGCATATAAGTCCAAAAATAAATAAAATAAATAAATAAAGCCTGTCCTTTAGGGAGTTTTTGCCTGTCAAACTGCCGGCCCATGTGCCGGATGCATCATAGCGAAACTGTGCCCACCCCATTGCCGGCAATGGTGAAAAACTCACAATACATCGCAACACGTCATATGACGTTGCGAGTTTGACACCCCTGCTCTAGTTCCTGAATCTTGCAGGTCTCTTTGCTTTACATGACAAAGCTAGGTAGTACATCACTCCGACATCAGATGAAGTCACCACAATGTGCCTGAGATGCCTTGCTCCTGTCTTTTCTTGACCCCCATAGTTTGCCTCCATGGTGCTCCCCAAAGTTGGGGGCCTCCCAGCTTTGTAGAAAAAACTCCACCAGCGAGAGTCCCAAACTTGCTTTTCCAAATGGCAACTGGAGTTCCTTTATTTCCCCCCCACCCTTGGAAGCGTTTCCCTTCTCGTCCATAAGCGTCTTACGTCCAGTTCAGAGCTTCTGGGATGAAAAGCGAGACGTTTTGAAGGGGAAAAAAGAAAAAGAAAAATGAAAACCCAGGAAAATCCAGTCGCCTTTTGGAAAAGCATCTTCGGAGAACAATAACCTGGAGGATTGCAACTGCCCCAAAGAAGAGGCAGTCAAGCTATTCTCCAAAGCTCCTGAAGGCAGGAGAAGAAGCAACGGATGTCAACTAATCGAGGAGAGAAGCAACCTAGAACTAAGGAGAAACTTCCTGACAGAACAATTAACCAGTGGAACAACCTGCCTCCTGAAGCGGTGAATGCCCCAACACTGGAAGTTTTTAAGAAGAGACTGGACAGCCATTTGTCTGAAATGGTATAGGGTTTCCTGCCTGAGCAGGGGGTTGGACTAGATGACCTCCAAGGTCCCTTCCAACTTTGTTGTTGTTGTTGTTGTTGTTATTATTATTATTATTATTATTATTATTATTATTATTATTAGCTATACCCAGCCACGCGTTGCTGTGGCTCAGTCTAGTAAAAGTGTGTGTTGCTTTTACGTCCAACAGATGGCGCTGTTTTTTTAAAAAAAGCATGTTTTTACCTGTCACAGGTGGGACATCTATATAATAGTAGGTATATAAAAACACGCGTGTATTCGAATGCAACTTTGTGTCAAAATTTCAAAGCAATCGGTGAAGAACTTTCAGAGATTTAAGATTTTGAACAAACGAACATTTACATTTTTATTTATATAGATGATGATAATAATAATAATAATAATGATAAAGTTGGAAGGGACCTTGGAGGTCATCTAGTCCAACCCCCTGCTCAGGCAGGAAACCCTATACCATTTTGGACAAATATGATGATGATGATGATGATGATGATGATGATGATTGTCTCTCACCAGACCCTGTAACAAGAGCTTCTAGTTGTGGAATGGATACGGGCAAAGCCTGTAGCTAGGTTGACCCTGATGCTTTAGCTGCCGTGACCTTGAGTTAAGAATCGTTGAATCCCAGGGTCAATTTCTTCATAATAAAATGAAATTTGATGCTGGCATTGATGCTTTTGAGAACAGAGATCCGGTGTCCGTTTCAAAGGCAAAGAAGGAATCCTTCTGCACAAGCAAGGTTTTTAATCTGGATTTCCCTCGCTGAGCAAAGGAAGATTGGTCAAACAGGACCTCAAACATCCCTTCAACTCCTCCGTTCCTTTTCTGCAGTGCTTTTTAAGGGGATAATCCTCTCCCTTTCTCCAATTTGTTTAAGGAAGCTTATCTCATCCTCAACAAAACAAAACAAAAAAACCTCATCCCTTCTAACAGCTTTAAACTGAGAAATATTCTTGATTAAATTTTGCAGGGAAAAAAAAAAAAAGGCATTAGACCCAGAGCTACACACACATGTATCCCTCGAACAAGCAAGCTATTTTCAAGGAGATGAGTTAAGCGCCAAACGTAAACACTGATCTATTAATGGCCCGGTGAGGCAATTTTTAATCATAGACCTTAAGTATTTTTTTTTTCTCTCTCTGCTTGCTGTGTTAAAAAAACAAAACAAAACAAAAACCTCCACGTCTTCTGTGTGTAGAAGCCTCGGCTTTTTAAGGAGAGACTAAAACCTGTGGGTAATTTTTAACTCGAGGAAAAAAAGTGTGAAAAAAACATGATGTAACTGTAAGCAGGAAGCTCGGAAGTGAGAAGAGATAATAATAATAATAATAATTTTTTTTTAAAGGAAGAGAGAAGAGAAACATCGTGGTTTAAATGTTTTGAGCAGGCACACCACCCCTTGCTCTGAGGCTTATATCTGACTATAGAAGATGATAAATGGGAAGGAACAAATAAAATAATAATAATAATAATAATAATAATAATAATAATAATAATAATAATAATAATAATAATAATAATAATAATAATAATAATAATAATAAATAATAACTGTGAGAGGGATCTCGGAGTCCTAGTGGACAATCACTTAGATATGAGCCAGCAGTGTGCGGCAGCTGCCAAAAAAGCCAACACAGTGCTAGGCTGCATTAACAGAGGGATAGAATCAAGATCACGTGAAGTATTAATACCACTTTACAATGCCTTAGTAAGGCCACACTTGGAATACTGCATCCAGTTTTGGTCACCACGATGTAAAAAAGATGCTGAGACTCTAGAAAGAGTACAGAGAAGAGCAACAAAGATGATTA